AATTCGGCTTGGTAAAAGGGTATCTAATATGTTGTCTAATAGCCATGTTAAGTAGAATATAACGCTTGAAAATGCCCCCATTACTGAATTAAATAATTTAATTGAACTGAAAAACTAAAGAATCATTAGATGGCAGTAAATTTTAAAAATATGTAATACCAAACGCGATTATGTAGCTATTAAAAAGTCTTATTACCTATTTCCTACTATGAGCCAATTACTTAAACGTGTATGTAATATAATTATCTTCGCTAGCTAAACAGCTTATTATGTTTGCTTATTATAGCTGCGTTTAAATGAAGGTAAAAAAGGAAATGTTTCCAAATTCAATATTAATATTCATTTTGGCTAATCGGTGGAGAAAATAACTTTTAATGAAGAAATGATCGCACAATTAGCGCTTTTATTCATAAACAGTCATATGGCTAATGAGCGAATTTTCACTTTTGCAGCGCCTATTTCTAAATCTAATTTCAATCATAAAAAGATGCAATATTAAAAAACCAATTTAATTTGTTGGTGCGGTTGATGGGATATTTTGTCATGTTTGACCTATTACTTGCAGGAAATTAGCATCTGCAAAAACCGGTAAAAAATTGTGATTACACAGGCTCAAATTGCAATTCCTGTGATTTTACAACTGCGGAATAGTCATGAATTGTTGATCATCAGGCATATGGCTAATGAAGGAAATTTCTCTCGTACTTTATTACTGACTGACTGATTAAAACTAAAGTCAAATAATTCGCTATATTGTTGTTTATTTGAACATTTGCAAGCAACAGCGAAGTTATCGAACTGAGAAGTAATAATATAAAATCGGTATTCATCGTTATAAAATAAAATCTTTGTAGGAAGTATGGGTTTATGCAGAGGCGGGCCAAAAAGAACTAACATGAAACAATATGTAAATAATAATATCGAGAATGCGTGAGGGAGGGTGGAAAAAAAACGTGGATAAAATTGAGTTGGTTGTAACACAATGAGTGAGTGACATCCAATAAAGAAAATTTGAAGTGCTTCTTACCAAAGTTTGAAGGAAGTATACATTAGTGAATTTTGTGGAAAATAAAAGCAAAGAAAACCGATTTACTCTAGAGCGCATAAATGTTCCTTTTTCAAAACATTTATTAATATACAAAGCCTTAAGGAAATTTATCTTTTTAACTATTAAAAATTGCGTAAATCACCGCTGAAATAAGCCGGTTGTGTAAAGGGCTCATTATAATTTAAAAATGTTTAAGTGATTCAATAGGAAATAATTATTTATTGTATATTTTAGCAACACTTGTCTAGTTTTAGAAACGTTCACTCGTTCATTTGGTTGCTGAAAACGCAGGCTTTATTGTATAATTGTCGGTAATGTTCATAAACTGAAAACTATGTTCATACTGTTTAATGGCACATAATAAATTACAATTAAGGTGTTTATTAAATAACCAAGCGACATACTAGTTGAAAATTGTTATTAAGTAGATATTGCATAATTTAATACTAATTCATCAAAACCTTTATTAAATGCTAACTAGTCAGCCAGTGCGTTATGATAAAAAGTGAAAATTAGCTCAAAGCTTACGGCTACATTTAGAATAAAATTTCACATTCCAGTTGGTTTTTTAGGTGTTGTTAACGTCTGTCACTTTGTGTTCTCTTCGAAGACCGCGGACTTTTATATATGGTGATCTAGTTTCGATAGGCAAATTGGGTCGACTTTGCCGTAAAACAAGCGCCTTAAATAAAATACGTTGCGTTAGATTCTTGTTTCAATTTGGCAATAAATTATTATAATATTATTCAGAATACCATATTTTTTCAGTCGCCTTAAGACACTGAACTATGGCTAGTTCAAGAGTAGCAAAGCCATTTACTTAACGGTAACACAACTCTTCTAGCTCAGATAATTTGTCGTGAGGAAAATATTTATGAAACTTGAAAAACTGCATGCTTTCAATGGCAATAGATCAATAATATATAATCTATTTGTCGCTTTATGATTGCCGTTCATTTCGCATGCACGAACGTCGAATATTAACATAATATACATACAAAGTCTAATAATTGTTGAAATAACTCAAACTTAGATATATAACAGTTTAAGTTAGATCTATTTCCATTTTACTTAATTTGCATAATAAATAATGTTTAACAACAATAATTATTATCTTTGGCCAGTCACTATGTTGTACTGGCCAAGGACATTAGGAAAGTATTTAGATCAGATTCTGCACAAATAAAAGTAACAATTACCAGCTAGACTCTGTTTAACTTCAAAGAAAAGTGATTTTTCGGTCACTCTCAAAATATCCTCAAACAAAAGAAATAAATGCTGACAATTAAATAGATTAATTAATTAAGATTGATTATTCAACATCCTTGAACCAAATTTTCGTTGCCGAAAATGTGCGGCAATTCCTCGGTTAATGATATACTGAGCATTTTATTTCCGCCTGTCCTTACGTCAAAAAAGCCTGGTTGAAAAACCGTACCAGGACATTAAGGTAAAACTAATAGTCATAGTGAGCCGGTGCCTTAGGGCTGGGTGAGACCCAGTATATTAAAAGTTGAAGGTGCTTTCGATCATAATTGAAAAGTCTTATAAATATTTGGACAAAAAGTAATTGGCCGCCTTTGCCGTAACATTGAATCCGTTTGAATATGATCGTCTAGACTTTACAGTGGGAAAAGAAACACATTAAAGTACGACAATAAACAAAATTTTTACCCATTTTTAATCAAAGCCACCAATTTACTTCGCTTTTAAATGTTAGTGCATTCAACATATCCGCTGATGTAATTTACAGTCATTCCAATTTTTGGTCGATAAAACATGCAGTTCAAATTACGAAAAGTGCGTACGTGACTCCCTCCTTTTCACTCTCCGTAACTAAATTAAATTTCTTCGGTTCAAAATTTGTCAATCAATTTCTTGCTTGATTTGAGTATTACAATTGTTTCATTTGTAAATCGAACACTGAATTTTTTGAAAACTGAAGCTTTATTATTTCGAATGGTCTGAGGATACTGGAAGCGTTCACAAATTAATTCCAAAGCCAGCAACAAATTTAAATTAACGCAGCCTAATTAACAGGAAATTAAAATGTATTCAAAGAGAAAGGATGAATAAATATATTTAATTGTGGCTAACTCTAGAGAAAATAACTTTTGGTAAAGAACACAGTGAATATTTGCAATTTGCTGATAAATATCCAGTGGCAGTTCTTGATTTTAAAAAATTGCTCAAGTTTGCATCAAAGAGGAAGAGAAGGGTATTTTAGATGATTCGGTAAAACATTTTTTGAAACCAAAAAAAGGGAGCAATAGGAAGAAACTCTGTATTTTTATAGTAATTCGGTGAACGTAAATTGGCGCTAATCCAAAATGGAAATTTTTGATTATAATGAAGTGTCTATTGTTCAATATTTACCATTCATTCGACAAAGTTCTCATTAGCAAAGATTTTCGTATTTATACATTTCGTTTGTATTTGAGCATATATTCGTATATCTCTAAAATTACCTAAAGCAAACGTAACATTACTTTAATAACAGGCTGTAAATGTATCCAAAAAAGCTTAATATCGAAACCGTTGGCTGCTATCAAACATTGGGAAAGTACCTACTATAGCTTATCTACAATAATTTTTTAAATAGTTAAATTAGCTTAAATTAGCTTAATCTTTTCCATAATTACACAAATTTTATATAATTTAATAGTTTTAATTTATGGTATAAAATCATAGGCTAGACTGTTAAAATCTTCATAAGATTTCCTTTTTAAAGGTTTTAATATTTATTGGAACTTTTGGGGCAAGATTTTGAAATTTGAAACCTGATATTTGCGAAATTTGTCTTCATAAATAATCAGATCTGCGTCACAATCTGTGTATTTCGGTTAGGGTGATTGCTCAAGGTGTTTTTTTTATCAAACCGAATTCAAGGGTTGTTAACATTTAACAGCCTTAATAAAATTAGGAGTTTTTGCTAAATTTTCAGTTTTTCGTTCAGTTTTCGGAAAAACATCCATCTGGCCAATTTTTTACATCTACTTCCACTTTCCCATCCAACACATTCCAAATCCGCCATAGAACGACTGTTGTGTTAAACAGTTGCTGGTAAATTATTCAGATTGTTAACATTTGCCTTGATTTACAATTTCTTTCATTAATTTTAATTGAACGGAAATTAAGAATCAATTGTAAAAGCTTTTACTCTTTCCACCATCATTTAGAGCTGAATTTAAAACAAATTTAATTAAATAGTAAATCCATCTCAACCACACAGAACGAACTTATGAATATGTATATTATAATATAAGATTATAATATAAGATACTCCAATACATGGTCCGAAATTTTTGCTGAGTTTCTCAAGGTATTTCATTCATATATTAGATATTCTAGGTTAATATTTCTAATAATTATTATTCTTCTTGAGAATTTTTTGGAGTTCTCTTATCGGTAAAATCTATTTCTCAGCTTTCTGAATGAGTTCTAGCAAACAAGCATTTGAGTCTTTTTATAATTTCGATAACTCGCCTTCCTTCCTATCAAAATACTTCCAGATCATTTCATACCGTGCAAAGTAATCTGTTGTTAATTCGAAGCAAAAAAATCTTCAAAATCTTCAGCTGTTGAAAGATGAACCAAAAGTTGATGAATTAATTTGTCTTAAAGTAAACTGCGACTTAGTATCGAAGACAATTGCCACTTAAGAGGTTTAAAAGTGCTGATGCTGTGAAAATTAGCCGTATTATGAAGAAGAAAACAATTGTATCAAAATTTAGAGAACGTCTTTCTCTTTGCAGAAGGGCTTTCTAAGTATTCAACAGGCATGGCAAACCAAGGAACCAAGAGGAATTGGCAAGTTGGCGTGACCGGGGAGCTTCTCAGATGTAGATTCCGGATGAACCCTCCATCTACGTCTTTGGCTGCGACCTTGCCGGTCACAACCAAAACTGTTGTTTGACCATAAACCAGATGGCGTACTTTCGCACAACCAACAGAGATAAGTGCAAAATAGTGGTGGAAATGCAAGGTTTTATAAGTCCGGGCAACATTCTCCGGTCGCGGTAGTTGAGGCGCGTAAAAATTGGGCCAGCAGTGTAAAAGACTGGCCGTTTTAACTACGAAAGAGCGGGTTCGTAGACTGAGGAAATGTGGTCGCTTCGTCGTTTTTCGATAGCGCTCGTCGCTCTTTTAGCTGTGAATCTAGTGCCTGTTAATGGAGTAAGGGTTGGTTCAGGAGCTCGAAACCCAGCGTCACCCGGAGCTAAGAAAGGTGAGTGTTTGGTGATCAACGCTTTTTGGATTTGAGCCTCCGGATATACTGGATGTGCCCTTCAAAGTGATCAAAGTGCTCGACCACATTCTATGTGGATTCAGTGCTCAACGTGAAACTTTTTGGAATATCCATCAATCATACTTATCACTTAACCGCCAATTTTTAATCAAAATTTTTAAGAGACGATTGTTTTTGATGGTGGAGAATTAGTAAATTTTCAAAATAAAGCAATGCTTGGTTTCCTAATAGATGGGCTTCGTCCCCGAGTCGTTACTAAATAGTTTTGTATGGAAATCGTAAATTTGTTTTTGATATTTTCTAAATAAATAATAATTAGGGATTAAGACACTGTTGGCAGTTTTTTTGTTAAGGTCATTAATTGATTCACAACATCAAAGCCTTAATGAATAAGTCGAATTAAAAATGGCAATGACATTGAGATCCCCGGATTTTCTTACGGTTTCACAGTGCTAATGATCTCGTCAAAGTTTCGATATTTTCATGCCTTTTTAGATTCCATGTTCTTTTTTATATGCGAATGGTCGGAGAATGCTAGAAACGTTCACAAGTCACAAACACATTTAAATTAGCGTTGGTTAAATTAAAAGTGAATTAAAATGTATCCAAAGAGAAAGAACCGATAATTATTTTTAATAGTCGCTAACTCTAAGGAAATTGATTTTCGGATAGAAATTCGTGAACATTGAGATTTTAATAATTTGCGCTGCTACTGATGAAAATATGAATGTTTAAAAGTAAACTTGGAACATTTTCTTCCATATCGATTAGCCTAAAAATGACAGCAAAAAATTTGAATTATTTAGAGGATAAATTTAAGTAATAAGTCCAAACCCACTTAAATGTCCAGTGGGTGTTTTTGCATTTGGAAATCTGTCCGAGTTTGATGATGAATAAGTTGTTAAATTAGTTTAAAGAGAAGACATTCTAGACGAGTCGGGCAAATGCATTTTGTAAGCTGAATGAGCAATAAAAAGAACTCATGTTCTTTTAAAGAATTTTGGTAAACGTAAAGCTTCTCTAATTCCAAGACTTTCATGCTTTTCTAGCTTCCTTATTTGCCTTTAAATTTCATACTGTATTATTTTAATGCCTGCTTAAAAATATTCTGTACCTCATAAGTCGGCTTAATAAAGCTTCGTTTCAAGTACCTAGTTTGCTTCGCAATCGATTTCTCTACCTAATTTATAATTTATTACTTCCTCACCTTTTAAATTTATCGTCCTCAGAACAGAGCGAAACATTCAGTCATACATCCGCTTACTTACGACATTAATGATTTCTCTAATGCAAAATTGAATTGAAAAAAAACTGCATTGGCTAGTTGAATGAAAACGGCCTTAGACAATACATTGAAATCGACCTAATGCGTGTTCTAAACCACGGCGATTTTCTCTGCAATTTTCTTCGTAGCACATGCCGAACAAGTGAAAGTTTTTCAAAGCTCTGCATGCGTTTTACATATGATATAGCCCGCATGAATGATGAATGGTTACATTCTAATAATTCTCCATCTGACGCCAATGTGGAATTGATGCATCGGAAAACAATTTCCAGCGTAATAAAAACAATTTGCAGCAATTATGAATTCTTTGGCAAGAATCGGTCTTGCATTGGTACACCACGCCATTCAGATTTGTTTATTATAACCTTCAGCAGACGGCTAGAACTGTTGCATTTCGGTCTATTGCCAGTATCATGTTATTTGAAATTTACGATTCCGCTTTTGAAAAAGCGTAGGTACTCTTTAATGAAAGGGTACTGGCTTATSGGCTATTATAAGCTGTCACGCCGGTCCATATTTCATGCCTTTCGGTATTGCTAACATAATTGTCGCCGTTACTTTTGTTATGACATCTTGCTTAGRAAAATATGAAATAATTTCCTCAATTACCAAATACTTAGTCATCGTAACTTTCAAGTAAACCGGTACCAGTTACCTCACCTAAATCTTGAACTAGCTGGATGATCATGTAGGCTTTCGATGACTTGTTTTCGACCAAAACCCAAATAAATTTAATGGCTTTTAGCTTTCTACTTTAATACAGGTGAACTGGCTGTGAGTCAATGKAAATATTTCCATTAATCCCAAAATATCACTCATYATATAAACTYGMSTRWAACATTTCCTCAAMKTTCGAAAGAAAAYWMGCGTGTAAMAKTTCCTYAWTTGCAGTTCTGATCTTTTAATCTGCGGCTCTTCCGACTACACTCGATGATAGCTTATTGGACTTTTTGWTGATTTTGAAGTCGACTTTTTCAATGTTTCGTGGTCTTCGTTTTTTGCCATAATTAAAACTGGATTATCGCTTCTTTAAACCGACACTCTGTGAAATATATCTTAATTTAAAAAAATGCCATCCGTTTGCAACCCATTTTAAATCTATTTGCATATTTCAAACATTATCTTGCAATTTTTTGTTCAGAAAGTGATTCAGGATATGGAGAAGTGCGACTAATTCCACATTGTTGTCTTTTATAGACCAATAACTCGATTTTCTGAATGTTTAAAGTTTATTTGTCTTCGGTGCCTGTCATATTCAGAACTTGAAAACGTTTTCGGTTGTCGAAAGCCCTGACTGTTTCGATTATATATTCTAGATTCATTTTGTCTTCATTTGGTCGCCATCGACGCGATTTTTTTAACGTTTAGGTTCAAGAATTATGTTTTTTAATCAGAAAAGCTAGACAAATTTCTACATAGTTGTTCTCTATAGAAGCAAAGTTGGTTGTCTGAAAACTTAAAGTTCCGCTTTTTTGCCATCATCAAATACTCGGCAATAGATTCTTATATTTAATCATTTTTTTTGCATTCGTGGTGAACAGGTTAACCCTTAGAAATATAGAAATTGCATTGCATTTTATGGAGGAAATTCTGTTTTCTAAACCCTAAGAGCTTCACATTTCTTTTATTATCAAACACTTTGTAACACATTTCTAAAATGTGGCATTTTCAAAAGATTTCTTGCAAATTTTAAATTGCAAAATTCATTTTTTAATCGGTTTTCAATAGCAGGTTATAGAAACAGAAACAGTTCCAGAAATTAATTTTTGGATATTTAAATTTGTTATCAATCTAAGCATTGCTGCATTTTCTGAAGGAAAGTCGACAATTTGCAGCCTGAAGTTTCGTTCCATTACCATCATCAGGCACTGAGCAACACTGTTTCGAAATGTGCCTACCTCGCAATCATTTTCTAGCATTTCCATCATCTAATCAGCTCATTTTCTTCGAAGGGTTTTTGCATTTTTACATTAAATATTAATTTCACGACATTTAGAAAAATTGTCAATCGCCTCTTTCCTGCACTTTAAGAATAAAAGTAAGCTGTTCGATTCAATTTTGTACGCAGTTTTGTGCTATTTTTCCGCGCAAAACGAGCTTTTCGACCTCCCGAAAAGAGATACCAAAATACACACCAGCGAAATCTTTAATTCGCTGTTTTATATAGGGGAAAGTCGGGTTTCTGGAACCTTACAGTTTTCGTTTTGGCCACACAACAGTTTGCAATTTTTTTCAATCGGGATTTCGCATTTTCCTATTTGGTACTGATTGGAATAAAATTAGATTTTCAGGCTTAAAAACTTTCAATTTGTTCTCATCATGCAACGCGTTTTCAAAATTTTCTATAATTTTCTGCCCAAAAATGATTTTTTGGACTTCGAGAAAATATGGAAACACCATTGTCGGCTTTCATAGAAGAAAGTAGATTCTCGAAAGAGTTCAAATTTTATTTTTTGTTGTCACCTTCCAAAACACAATTCGGAAATTTGCAGCTGTAGAAGAGCGGAATTCTAACGGTACTCTGAGGTTTGTTGAAACACACAAGAGATCGAGCAAATAAATTCACTTTCAACGTACAACGGCCGCTTGTACAAATAGCCAAGGCAATTGATTGGGCATTCGATTCGCATTAGATTTATCAAGAGACTGCAAATCTAGTTCCTGAAACTGGGTTAGTAGTTATACAACGGACTTTTTTTCTTAAATAAGTTGTTTAAACCGAAAGCATGCACTGGTAGAAAACTAGGGGAAAACAAGCGGACAAATTGACTGTGACAATTACAGAAAAAGACTTGCAAATATTAGCATTACCTTTGCATGGTTTGGTTGGTTGTTGTGGAATTTGTAGATTTTCAGCATTCATAACTGTGAATGGTCGTGTAAATGCAGCTTAATACGGCCAATATACCACTTAATAATCAATCGATTCAATCAATTGGGCAACGTTTCGAGGCACGCTCTATTTCTCTGTCCTACTAGTCAATTTGGAAAGGTTTATATCAATTCTTGAAAAATAATTGGCCAACGCAGAATTTCTGATTGTTAACTAATGCCCAATTCCTTAGATGAAATGTGCAAGGTTGTTGGGCAACTTTTGGTCCACCCAAAAAAATCTCGCAATGTTTGCTGTATTGTTAAGTTGCTCAATTAGAACAGGTTGTTTAGTTGGAACTTTTTTACGTGATTCGATTAGGTTTACGTGCTTTTAACTACATCTGTTGCTCTACTGAAACTACAGGACGGCTTCTAATTATAGATTTAGAATTTTCGCTTTATGAACGCTAAATTCTGGGTCTATAAAGTGGAGTTTTCACTGATTTTTGTGATGATGATTGATCCGAAACGAGCTCAGGTTTTTACAGTTTATCGGTTCCCAAGCTCAATTAGCCCACTAGTGCATTGAACCAAAAAGACGATGCTGAACAGCTCCACCAGTTGGTAAACCAACTCTTTAACGGATTTTTATGATCTCATTCAGAGTGTGACATGTGGAAAGTGAAATCAAAGTGGCACGTTACACGTCCTTCAAGGCCGTCGAATTGTTTTCGTACTCAAAGTTTCAGTTCACCTAGTAAATAGAATTTCCGGTACAATCATTGTCACCGCCAGTTCATCATTTGGTCGGTTAATTCCCCTGATTTTCGGGACTAATTTTTGCTTTCAAATTAGGATCCTGACTTGAAAGTGTGGAAAC